CGACGTACGTACGTACGTACGACGTACGTACGTACGACGACGTACGACGTACGTACGTACGACGACGACGACGACGACGACGAGAGACGAGAGAGAGAGAGAGAGAGAGAGAGAGAACGCACGCACGAACGCACGCACGCACGCACCCAGAATTATACAGGCACGGCACACATGGCGCCACAGAGGCGAGTTATCTTATAGCGTAGATCGCGTACGTAGGCGCTTATCTGTAACCGGCACTTCTCTCTCTCTCTCTCAGCAAAAACATCAGCCAGTTGTGTAAAATGCGCGATGTTACGATTCTCGCTATCGGATTCGCGCAGATCCGTATAGCGGGCGTCGCGAGATGCTACGTAGAACACCCCCGCGGTCGCGTGCGGCCAGCTCCCGTGGAAGTGCGAGGCTTGTCTGCTCTCGAGCGGTCGGGAACAGCGCCTCTTTTGCGCAACGCCATCTTGTACCCGGTCTCTCTGGACGATTTGATGATCCTGACATTAATTGCTTGCTATGTGCTATGTATGAGTCACGAGTGTATGTTTACATCGAGCAACATATAGTAAAATAGGAAGTATAATGCAGCAATTTAACCATAAAAAGTGAACAGAATTACTTTCATTTTGTGAAAAAGTGGAAATATTTTTTTACTTTTACTATTTACGGTGACGTAATCACTTTAATATACATACCAAATAATGCTAGTATTATTCAAATATTAATTTCTATTTTAATTACTTACATTACATTGTGCGCGACAATAAAAATATGTGCCATTTGTTAGGAAATAATTTTAATCAATTAATAATAAAAAAGAAGAAAAAAGTAAACTCAACGTAGTAATTATCACCTCAACGTTCACATCTTCAGGTTCTTGCGCTGCTTCTCTCGGACATCGTCGGAGACCCACTCGAGCTCATCGCGAGTGGACCAACTGTCCCGGATAACTCTGGCCCAGACCCCCTCGCCATCCTCTATCGTTACAGCCTTGAGGATGCGATACCGGGGAGTGCCTGGTCGATACTGTGCGAGACTGACCGGCGCGGTGCGGACCCTGGCGTCGCCGCGCGCGTGCAGAACGTGCTCGTTGGCACCAACGCACTCGCTGTCGCCGCGGCCCGTGCGCGCGCCGCTGCGCTCGGCTACCGTGTTCTCGTGGTCAGCGAAACCTTGACCGGTGAAGCGCGACGCGTCGGCGCGATGTTCGCGCGTCTGCTGTCGCGCGTCCGCCGGACGTACGACGCGGTTGCCGACGGCGACCTGGCGGCTGCGCGTCGCGTCGCAGAGGCGTGGGACGATGTACCGGCGGCGTGGCGTGACGCGGTGTGCCGGGACGAGGCGTTCCTGGAGGGAGTCGCGAGCGGCACTCCACTGTGTTTCATCGCCGGAGGTGAGACGATGGTCACGCTGCAAGGCACAGGGAAGGGAGGGCGCAACCAGGAGATGGCGCTAGCGTGGGCGCTGGAAAATTGCGACGATGCGTTCGCATCGTTTCTTAGCGCAGGCACCGACGGCCAGGACGGCCCCACGGACGCGGCTGGTGCCGTTGCCAGTACACAGATGGCGCTACCTGTTGACTCTCAGATGTATTTGGACAACAACAATTCCTACAGTTTCTGGGAGAAAGTCGACGAGAGTTCAAATGATGGCAGCTTTCGGCGCTTGCTGAAAATAGGATTAACTGGTACAAACGTGATGGACATACAAGTTTTGCTCGTGAAACTTGCAAAGTAATGATGTTGCTAGGCATTGCAATGTTATGGGAACCAGCAACAAGCGATTTATATGTAGAAGAACTGCTCCCATCTGGCATGCTGGTCCAGGCAACTCTTATCATGCAGAATTATTCTCTGTGTAGTTCCACAGAAGTGATCACACCTATTGCAATGTTAAATTGCAACTGGCAATTTGCAATGTTGCTCGTTCGGGAAATATGTGATTTTATTTATACAATTCACCTGCTTATTTATTGTTTCCCGTATTTAAAATATATTGAATCATGAGAGCACACCATTGTCAAACCTCAAAATAAGTGTGCCTTAGGTTTGGTTAGGCTTTGCTCAGGTTGCGTGTTGTTTTTATAGGCGTGCGCTTCCATAAGTAATACAGTTTTAATTGGCGAAATCAAAGTGCCAAGGGTACCTGATTAGAGGATTAACTTTAACTACACTACTTTAGTTTGCTATTAGTATTAGGACAAGAAGGTATTGCTGAACTTTGTTACTACATATATAGCTTGTTTCTGTATATTACATTAGAACTCATCGAATGAGTGAGAACGTCTGCGATAACCACACGTCATGGGCTTCTCAATGCGGATACGCTACAATATTAACGTGAAATTCACGTTTCTTGTATGATCATTGTCAACATAATAAATTATTGCAACTATTGGTTCTCATATTAGATTGTCTTATTTCTTATACTATAAAAAAATGTTTTTTTTTCTGTTTTTTTTTGCAAATCACCAAGCCCTGTGTAATATTTTCCTTGCATGAAAACGTCATCTGCTTTTGCATTGACAGAAACACTCGTTTGTCCTGTGTATAAATATATGTATGATCAGAAACTGAGATGACCTCAATAAGATCAGGTAAACTCAATTTCAGATAAGGTAAACGATTCAGTGGGTGGAGTCTAATTGATCGTCTAGCTGTGATGGTGGTATTTGTTGACAGTTGTACTAGGAAGAAGAGCATGCATAACCTACATGGGGTCGTGTAAGGGTCTGCACTGTGTGATTAAGGATCAGCTATTATCATGGAAGACAGTTCTGGCCACAAAAACCATGATTTTTCATGGTAAAAAAATAATTACCCTATGAGGTCTAATATTATATCACAAAGTCCATAGAATCTTATTTCGTTATTGTAATGTGATTGCTTGTTAAAAATAATGTGGTGGTAAAAGCCAATGATCACCGCCATCCGTACATGCAGTAGCAGCATGTAAATTCAGCACTCACACACGAGGGTATAACACCCATCCTACTAATCATGCTACTGCCACAAGTCTCTCGATCTGCACGTCGCGTCGAGTGTAAACCCCCCGAGTAAGTAGTAACCACGGCCAACATCGCCGGTAGCGATTTAACCAGCAGGGAATTTGAGGTTAGTGATTTTACCGACGGTCTTGTGTTGTGGCATACTTACACAACGACATCTATCTATCTATCTATAGAAGGTGCACTGCCGATTAGCAACCTGCAGGCTACAGTGATGGTTCTTACAGATGCAGTAATGAATTATAGGCTAGACCCGCTTGCAATGTAACCTGATCGGCATCTCTGCGATTGTCTCTTTCGCTCTCATCATCCATATTGTTGCATGTACGTGGCGAGGGAGAGATTTATGAAAGCGCTGGCTGATCTGATCTGGGCTGGGCTGATCTGTGAAGCTTGATATCGCTGCTGCAAAGGTCATATATGTTGCACACCTATCAGCAACGATGTTGCAAACCTGTAAAGCCTCAATTTGCAGCACACCTATGCAGACGTCCCAAGTGTCCCGGTCTCACCGGGATCGTCCCGGTGCGACATGCTGGTCCCGGTGTCCCGTTAAGAGTCCAGAAAGTCCCGGTCATAA